ACATTTTTCAATCGATTTCAACAAAACTTCACAGGACTACGTAAAATTCCCTTGCGGTGGTTGTGACAGCGCCAAAAATTGGAAAAACACAATTGTTTTTGCACGAAATCAATTTGAAAACACGATTAAGAGGCATCACTGTCGCGAGAATGAAAGTGGGACAACTCATATCGAGTTATACTTATAAAACCCAGGTCGTTTGTGTGTGTTTGTTTATATATGGGATCGGATTTCCTACATTTTTCAACCGATTTCAACAAAACTTCACTTTTTTTTTGGCAGGTAGTGTTTCTTATTGTCTTGCACACTTTTTTCTTTATTTTTACATTCAGAATGCTTTAAAAATTCCATTTACAAGTTTTTGTTTGAGTTTGGGTTTGACCAATTCGTAAAAAAAAAAAAAACCTATTTAAGACCTGCGTGTCCGTCAACCTTAAACACTAATCTTTGTCAATTTTATTTTTCAGTTTATATGATGATCTTTTACTGTTACATTCTCGAGCAACGCCGGCTCTACTGCTAGTATATAGTAATATATATATATATATATATATATATATATATATATATATATATATATATATATATATATATATATATATATATATATATATATATATATATATATATATATAATATATATATAGTAATATATATATATATATATATATATATATATATATATATATATATATATATATATATATATATATATATATATATATATATATATATACCTATAACTGTTATATAACAGTAAAAAATATATATATATAGTATATATATATATAGTAATATATATATATATATATATATATATATATATATATATATATATATATATATATATATATATATATATATATATATATAATATATATATATATATATATATATATATATATATATAACTGTTATAACATATATAATATATATATATATATATATATATATATATATTATGTTAAAAAAAATCGAAAACGAAAAAGAAAAATATACAGTATAACAAATAAATAATAACAAGTAAAACAAATTGAGTTAAATTCATCCAAATAAATAAATAAACCAATCCCGATAAACTAACCGTTAGAAAAAACAAAGAAACATAATCAATCCAAATAAATACATGAAGTAATAAACAAATTAAAAAATGTTCCCGCCAAAATGATAGTTAGAATAAGCTACAACAATCAACACCAAAATTGAATAAATAGCTTTAATTATCTTTCCAAGCCAAAACAAAACTATTAAATAAGCGATATAAACGTTAATAAGAACACCGATTAAAAAATAATAAATAAATCAATATATAAGATAAGAAATAAAAATAAAATAAAAAATAAATATAAATAAAAACAAGCAAAATAATTTAACCCAAGTAAATAAATAAACAAATAAACGACTTCCGGTAAAATAACCGCCAAAATAGACTACCCACAATGCACCACTGATCCGTATATATATAAATAGCCGAGAAAAATAACAACACTCGTAGCCTGACGATTGCATCTAGCATGAAACAGACTGTCGCCTCTAAGTGTTGCCTTGTATGTTCACTTTTATATTTACACACGCTCTATCTCTGATATTGAGCACTTTATCCCATAAATATAGCACATCTTCAGACTATATTTCTTCATATATATATATATATATATATATATATATATATGTATGTATGTATGTATGTATGTATGTAACCTAGAAGGTTACTGAATAGAATAATCACACGAAGGTTGGTAATGAACGATAATACTTAGGACAAGAACAACACATATAAGATTTGCTAGCGGCGCGTAGAAGTAGTAGTCAACTGCTAGAAGTGAGTGAAATGATTTCCACAATTAATCTCCACCTGCTCTGTGGAACTGACTCCCAAGATGATATTTCCTCGATCACAACAATCTTATTCTGTTTAAGTCTAGAGCTAACCGTTATCTTCCCCTCCTATCTGCATAAACTGTCTCTTAGTGTGCAACCCTCTACCTCGAGTGTCACCCGGACCTTGTACAGGGTGACCTCACTGTAAAAAAAAAAAAAAAAGTCTATTTTTTCCGCTAACACTTGTGCAACAATTAAGAGTGTAAGAGACGAGGCTGAGGACGAGGTCTGGAAGGCTGATACGTGGCATCTGTCGATATCAAGAGACAATGGATCTGCGTCTAAAGAATTATGTCTCAGCTGCTGATGGCGGTGCAGCATCTGTAGTGGCGCTGGAGTGACAGTCTCGATTGCAACGAATACATGTGAAGACGGTCTCCCCACGATGCCGCCTTCTTTTTCCGTCGAGTACGCTTCACCCCTGAGGCTAGCTTCCGTTTCTCCACTCCTCACTCCAACCCTCGGAGTAAATCGCGTCTCCAGCGTGAACGATCGTTGGTTGATACGTTTGTGCTAATTTTGGCACGTTGTTTGTGTCTCTATTATAAAAATCAGTTGTAGTTAAAGGAGAGGAATTACTTTTTTTGACAGACACTCGTATTTTCATTGCCGTCTCCTGATACTGTGTTTGCATTGTTAATTCTTGTCTCGTCTTTGTTTTAATACTATTTCCTTTTAGCGAAACAATGTCGGCTGAATATCTCCGTAGCGCTGAATTAGCTGTTGTTTTAAATCATTTCTCCTCAAGCAAAGCAATAAAGCCACTACGACGCAAGAGGGTTACTGAGTGTTAGAGAATATGTGAAAATTTATTACACTACATACATTGTTAGTACTGTTTTCCTCATCTTTATTGTCATATTCACGACGTTTCGGCAGCTGTACGCTCCGGTCTTCTTCAGATGACATACGATGGAATTCCGAACTGAAGACTTTATTTCATTCATCGGGGTAGATTGTTCTACTTCCAAATACCATGCCTTTTCCGGATAGCTCAATTTCAGCGATTTCGAGCCCTTTTTTTCGTCCGCCGGGTAGATTGTTCTCGTTCCACGTGCCATGCCTCTTCTGTATATAAATAAAGGAAACTAGGATATCCAGAAAAGGTCCAGCTTCTTTTCTATTGTCACCTACGAGCTTCAAATGTTTAAATGCAACGTCAATCCCCATCTTCTGTCTTCCTTAAACCTGTTCTTTTATTGTCCTTTCTCCTCACTAAAGTTTTCTCATCATCGATCAGTCTCAGTAATCGTTTGCGTCTCAGTGACATTATCGCCTTACTTGGCGTGAAATGATTAAAAGGATTCACTATAAATTGTCTTTGGTGGTGAAACTTTTGATAAGAAACGAAACAAAGTCCTATTTCAGATGCAATGGAAACTCTATTTTGAAATTATATTAGAATAATACAGAAATTATACTCGGAGAAAACTGCATGCATACGGGGGGAAATTTAATGGAATACGTTCAGAAACCTAGAACGGGGCGTAAGACAAGAATCTGTCTTCAAACTGGATTTATTCATTATTTACAGCGAAGCAGAATTAGAAGTCCCACCGGGATTTATTAGCGGTGAGCACAATTTAATAACATTCTCCCCGGCATATGCAGAATGAAAAATACAGTAAATTTTAAATGGTTTAGAAAACGAAGATGAGAAGAAAGGACCATCAATTGTAAGAAGACAGAATGTATGTTTTTCGGCAAGGTTAACAGTTCAAGAATATTTAAATGAGAAGACTCTTAAACCATTTCACCATTTCTGGGGGAACTTCTATTATCTACTAACAGGAGTGATGGAAAGAAAAAAAGAATGTAAATTAAATCGGCTAGATTAATATTTAAAAATTAAAATTTAAAATTCCCAGCATCCATTTCACCATTTAGTCGGGGAAAATTAGTCCGATTAAGACTTAAAGGACGAAACGCGTCTATTCTGTCATACATTTTTCTTCAATATTGTTCCTGATACATAAAATATATATCATTATCTCTCTCTCATGGATATATATAAATATATATATATATATATAAATATATAAATATATATATATGTGTGTGTGTGTGTGTGTGTGTGTGTGTGTATGTATTTAAAAATCCTTCTTTCATGCACATTTCATTGAAACGACAGACAAGGTACTTTTATTTAGTTTTTATACAATTTCTCATACGATCTAATAATTTTTATCTTTTCGAATGATAAATTATATAAAAACTGTCTGAATGTTCGTTTTATCCGAGCGCTTTCGGCTATACATTTAGCCATTTTCACTAAGACATGTTTGACACGCAGACTCACTCTACACCTTTCTGATCATAGCTCAATTAGATCTCATTTACGGACACTATTCGTAACATACTTGTTGACAACATTTATATAATAGCATCATCTACATGCCAAAAAAAAGGCTAAAAATAATGGAAGCCTTATTAATAATAAAAAAAAACACTAGTTAATAATATTAACTTTGAACATGGACATAATATCTTGACCGTGTTTTGAAAAATGAAAGCATTTTATAAAACATACATACAACAAACTATTTCTTATTTTAACAGTTAAAATATAATCATTGAAAATGGGTAAATGTATAGCCGAAAGCACTCGGATAAAAAGAACATTCGGACAGTTTTTATATAATTTATCATCCGAAAAGAAAAGAAAAATGTGCGGATGTAACAGCAAAATTGTCCAATCGTTAGAGTAAGATTTGAACCGTTTATCTTAGAAATGAGTTAAGTTATTTTACTAGCTCTAAGATAAAATGATAATCCTTCTTGCTGTTGTCATCGGTGCATCGTTATTTCGATGGGACGTGTTCGGACGAACGTAGTTACTCCAGTTCTAACCTTCAAGACTAAGAATGTCCACGCCAGGCACATTGTTGCGAACCACCTTCATTACCTTCATATTCCATTGTTGTGTTGTAAGTTACCCCCAAACAGTTTCTTCCCACGAACTGATACTTTGTCGAATCGATTCCCAAGGGGATGCTTCCCCGATCAATCTTAACCTGTTCCCTACATAACCTCACAAACAGTGTTACTTGCCCCTGACTCTTCTACTTCAGCTGACAGTGCTCAGTCCTTACAAAAGCCAGCATGGTGTTTGACATCATTTAGGGGCACGAAAAGAAAAAAAAGGAAGAAAAGAAAGGAAAAAGAGAAAGGAAAGAAAGGAAAAGAGAGGCAAGACTTAAGTTTAGATGATAAAAGAAGCCACCCACGACCGGGGACATTGACAATTTTATTTTGATAAGTAGCAAATGGTGAAAGGTTTTATTACCATTGCAGAAAAATTCTAAATGGATAAGAAAATCGACTGTGTTCTGGTGGCGGACTTGTGTTATCGGGAATTGATAACAGCCACTTAATGCTGGCGAACATCTAATTAACAAACCACAGACCGGCTGGCTAAAACTCCGAGACATTTCGACAATGTTATTTTGATAATGGAAAAAAGATGGTGAAAATTCTGACCACCAGTGTCGTAGGACTGTCTGACAAGGACCAGGTGAATACAGAGCTTTGGATAGATAAGAAAATTAACTGTGTCAGAGGGGGCAAACAATATTGTCGGGAAAGGATTTAATAGGTCGTCTGCTAACCGCACACGAAGCCAACCCTAGGTTAAGTCTTTGCCGTTTTGACAAAACATCTATGGGTGTTAGAATTCGGTTATGATAATAAAACTATGTTATCAGAAATTGGCACCAGGAATGCAAATACGGCTAGGACAATGAAACTGTTTTTCGAGGCGGAAATCGACTGTTTCGCTAGACGACTACTCCACTTGATAATTGGCATTGATAGATCCCAGGTGACATTGGGGATGAGAGCTGCGGTTAAGGAAAGAAAAGGAAAAGAAAAAGATAATTTTTTTTTTTTTTGAGCAAGATATATTTTTTTCCTAAAAAAAACAAGCCGAATCACACCCACTCGGTTGGACGCCATTGGTCAAATGTCAACGAGGGCCAGGCGGAGGTGATCACGTGACGCAAGGGGAGAGCCGCCGCCGCCCATTTAGAGGATAGGTATGAGAAGTTGCTACGAAGAAGTGGGGAGAACCGTTGACGCCCCTCTGAAGTATGGTGAGATATCCATATGGGAATAAGAGAAGGTTGGAGTAAGTGAAGACTTCCAAAAATGGAAAGGAGTGGAAAATTCCTGACCAAAAATAAAAGAAGTGGATATGGATTTAGAATTATCGAGGAACCTCCAACCCCGATAAAGCCCACCCCGGTTTTCGTCGGCGTCCATATAAGCAAAGTCGCAGCGAGTAAAAATCAGTTCAATCCAGAGTTGAGTTAGGTTCGGACTCCGGTTTTCCAGAGTGCTCAGTTGAAGCAGGCCTCGCAGAGCTGACTTGAAAGATTCGCGCAACTTCCGAACTCATCTTCAATCCAAGAACAATTTATTTTGAAGAGCGACTTAGATCCATACCACCAAAATAAGTTTTTCGACTATCGCCTGAGGACACACCAAGAACCAATTTCTTAAAGAACAGACAACTTGAGATGTTAAAACTCACCTAACAAAACCAACGTGTCAAAATCCATATAGCGGGTCGGGAGGTAGACGCAGTCCTATGTATCCAGCAACCAGATATAAAGTATTGTTATCTTTTTTTTGATACCTTGAACTTTTGAGTTATCATTTTATTTTATTTTATACATATTTGTGTGATACCACCCTCGTTTGAACTCAATTTGCATTACGGCCCCAACGACTGATTGATTTCGTCTGCCTAAGATCAATTCAAAACGTGGGTAGGCGGACTGGAGATCAACGCAGTTACTTTGATAACCAGACGTTGGAAGCGAGTTGGGAACGACGAGGCTGATATCGGATCTGACCAGATTCCCATTCGAATCACCAAAAGGTTAGAACATCACATTTGGGTGCCGCGACCAATACCAAGCCAGTTGATCGTCACAGGACGGGACAACACGACTGACGCAGACAGGCGGACGTCACGTTTGGAGCGGCGACACCCGAAACGAAGCAGCGAGGCGCGAGCGAAGGCTGTAGAGAGGGACGTCACAGGTGTATTTACGCTATAATTCAAGTCTCGATAGAGTTCAAAAGCGTCTCCGCGTCCTTCTGGGTGATGAATTGTTTTCTACCCTACAAACCCATTTCCATAGACGAAACAGCGTCTCCGCGTCCTTGTGGGTGATGAATTGTTTTCTACCCTACAAACCCATTTCCATAGACGAAACAGCGTCTCCGCGTCCTTGTGGATGATGAATTGTTTATTACCCTACAAACCCATTTCCATAGACGAAACATGTCAAGAGTCTCGTTATTCTATCGCCATTTCCATGGCAATTCTTTCTGACATGCGATATTCCTTAGTTCCAACAGTAGTTCCACCAATTCCGACCTTCACAGCTTATACCCGCCATGATGCGTAAACTGGAACGAATCAACGCCATTATCCTAGTTTTCCCTTAACAGGAAGAATGTTCAATTCAGACTGCTTCTTCCCAAGAATCTCTACTCCGTGGATCGAATTACCAAGAGGGTCTACCCCGTTCGCTATGATCTTGATCTAATCCAGTCTAGGATTAAACGTTATCTTTTGTATATAGCTTCAGAAACACAAAACATAAACCCATCATCACCCCAGCTCCGTAGGTCATTAGGATGATTGTTGTACCACATGTACTGCATCTATAGCCGCGAGGCTGTGTCTTGGACAAGATAATTCTGTTAAATAAAAACAAACCCCCCAAAACCTAAGATCACATGCATTTTACACAGATAAAGATCATTCGTAATGTGTGAGCCTTACTTGTGAGTACAATTTTTTTTATATTTCTGGGCTGCAAGGAATACCTTCAATGAGTCTCTTGGAACCTTTTCCAATCAATCAGAGGGTTCCAAATACAACTGGAATTATTGGTGTCTATATGTGTCTCATTTTTTAGATTATCACTTCAAGACCCGTGTATTTTGATAGTTTTTAAAGATCTCCAAAAGATACATTACAATCTACAGGGACTGCCATTTCAATAAGAAAGCCCATTCTGTTTTGTGAGTAGAGCCGATCCAACTTAAGGTTGGTGTCAAATTGAGATTTTTGTCCTAGACTTGTAACATCAAGGCAAGTAATCCCACGTAATACTGCTATTTATTTCATGCAAGATAACTTTTGTAGGTACATTTGTTTGAGTCGATGTCTGTTTTTTAACAGTGATATTAATCTCAAATGAACAATCGATATAAATTCTTATGAAAGAAAATGTGCTCCTCGTTAGGAATCGAACTTGTATTTCTATTTATAATTTCGGAAATCAACTTCAGCTCAGGCTTGCTTTTTGTCATTAAGATACTAGAAGCCATTACAAAAAAGTAAAGCAAAGTCATTTCCATTTCATGCACATCTCTTTGGCACTTTAGAAGCCTGACAGCTAGGACCTGGGAGCAGGGGCCTTGGTTCTGGGGTTTGGGAGCTGGGAAATGGCGACTGAGAATACAAGAGACAGATTCCAATTTAATTCATATATATTTGCGCAAAAGTGAAAGCCGTCAACTCGGCCGGAATTCGAAATCGCCTCACCCATTTATCTTTCCGAGTCGCTAACCTTTGCATTATCCTAACATTCATCTACTCGCAATATAAGCGGTAATTGATAAGATATAAATCCGCTGAGCTGTGTATTTCCCGTGTGGCTGATGTTGTCATCTTTTGTAGACATTCCGTTTTAGAATAGTTGATGTTAAGAATTTCACACACAAAGGTGACGATAACTAATAGCAAGATGACGCCAAGGAAGATGACAAACGCGCTAAATTTATATCCTAGATAGAGACAGAAAGAAAGAAATAATAAAGAAAGGATGACAGATATCATTAATGACTGGGATTGAAAGAAAGAGACTGAGAAATAGAGACTAAGAAATACTTGAACAGGCACAAATGGATAATGAACATAGATAGATAGATAGATAGATAGATAGATAGATAGATAGATAGATAGAACAGTATCCGATAAATATAGACGGAAAGAAAGATAATAAAGAAAGAGTGAGAGAGATCGTGAACTAACTCGGATTGAAAGAGAGACAGAGAAATAAATGAACTGACTCGAATAGATTGATAACGAAGAGGAAGAGATAGATAGATAGATAGATAGATAGATAGATAGATAGATAGATAGATAGATAAAGAGCCTCAGGTGGATAAAGACAGAAAGAAAGATAATAAAAAAGAGTGAGAGAGATAATGAACTGACTCGGATTGAAAGACAGAAATGCAGATACAGAAATATATTAAAAGAGTCATATAAATAGATAATTAACAGCTTTAGATAGATAGATAGATAGATAGATAGATAGATAGATAGATAGATAGATAGATGAGTTTAGATCGATAAAAAACGAATTAGGTTAGACACAGATAGATAGATAGATAGATAGATAGATAGATAGATAGAAAATGAGTTTAGGTAGATACAAGCAAATTATGTTAGATAAATCAAATTTTAGATAGATAGATAGATAGATAGATAGATAGATAAAAACAAATTTTAGATAGATAAAAAAAATTAGATTAGATAGATAGTGTTGTTCAGCTAGAAAGGGAACAGGTGAAAATAGTTTAGTGTCAGCCCCACTACATCTTTCCAACTGAGCAATGGTGAGAGGAAAAAGATCATTCAGACCTTCAGCAATGCTACCAACATTCATGCACTGGCTTCTATCTTCAAAATCTATTCACGAACCATCAAGAAAACAGTGAATAAGTTTAAAAAAAGAGGGTACAGTAGAGAAGGAAACTGGATCGGGAGGTCACAATTGGAAGAGGGATCAGAACAAAAGAGATCAATTGAAACTGAATCCATAAGACGTTTGGCACATGCGAGAGGAGTTTCAACGATGACAGTCCAAAGGGCATTGAAAAAAGGTAAAGAAAAACTTGAAAATGAAGTCGTACATGAAACCTTTGTGGCACCTTGTTAATCCTGACAGGAAGTTACAAGGTTATATATATATATATATATATATATATATATATATATATATATAAAACTTTATTTCAATCCTTTATGAGCTTTCAATATTTGGCTATGATAAATTAATGATGAACATGTCATTTTCGTTTATGATCGCTTTCTTCACGATTCTTCTGTTAAGCCTAGAGATTAATTATACATTGTTATGGCTCAAAATAGAATACACTTGTGTCATAGAAACCTCGGAGAATTCCCGTAAGATAACTTTAATCATTTCCAAGATACAATGTTTTAAAGCTTAATCTAAGAAATGGACAATTTTGATTTTACACGATTTGGACAATCAATTTTTGCTTTTACATAAAAGCAATGATATATATATATATATACTTTATCTTAACACGCACACACATACACATACGCATATATATATATCTATATATATCTCAATACTAAGAAAATTCTACATAATACTGCTTCTACTGATCTCAAACATATTAATCTCCTATATCGTAATCAAATGCATACTAATTATAAACAAGATGAAAATATACTAAAAAATTTAGTAAATGCTAATGCATCAACAACAGATCCTAGCAAAAAAAATTAAGTTAATCATATACTACACTAAATCTATTATATCCAACTTAAATATATATATATATATATATATATATATATATATATATATATATATTTATTTATTTATTTATATATATATATATATATATATTTTGAACAATAAACAATATTAAAAAATTAACATCTACAGACACCCTGGGTTGTAGATTAATATTCTTTCGTTTTTATTATTCGTTAGATTCCTAGACCAGTTTCTGCCAACATGGCCATCATCAGGAGAAAAAATTCTGCTTGAATAATGCTTAGTATTTGCTTTTACAGGATTTGGACAATTCAATTTTCTAAAAATATATGAAACAAACTCTTATTAATAGTAACTTGCCTAATTATATTGTTGATGAACAAATAAGACGTCCAATTAGAAATTTTTGAATAAAGCAAATAGAATATAATCACTTCTTCAACTAAACCCAAACATATTAATATTTTATATCGCAATCAAATACAATCTAATTATAAACAAACGAAAATATCCAAAACATTGATAAACGTTTCCTATTTCTACATTATCTTAACACGCACACACATACGCATATATATATATATATATATATATATATATATATATAATATATATATATAATGTAAGCAAATTGTACATAATACTGCTTCTACTGATCTCAAACATATTAATCTCCTATATCGTAATTGTATCTCCAACGAATTAAATAATCTTTTATGTTGGTCACACCACAAACTCGCTTTCGACGCTTGACACTACATTTAAATGAAAACTCTAACATTTTAGGCGTTTAAAACAACATGCCTGCCCTCACACACAATTCCATAAAAAATACTTGTCGAAAACACAATTATACTTCGACATGAAAACAATAGACAAAAACTAAAAATCCTTGAAGCATTATACATCAAACAGTTGAAACCCAACCTAAACAAAATCAATTATGAAATCTCTACAAATATCTTTAAATATCTATAATTGGTAACAGAAGCCATTGGTTTATATCAAGGGATTCCCATACTTCATACTTCTTCAATTCACTCTCGTGTGGTCATGTGTGACGTCATGAGATGCGGTGCGATTTTCGCTTCTAGCGTCTTATATGCACGTGTTTATCGTTGCTTAGAAATCATCTATGTAAAAAATGACAGACTATCATCACTGTCTTGTCCGTATATTTGTTAATATGTTGTAATTGACATCTTTGATAATGGCTTATGTAAGCCGAAAGCTTAGATTGTATTAAAAAAATATGGATCAATATTGAGAATTTCTTTTTTCGTTCAACGATAATGTTATTAAATATATCAGACGTTTAGAAAAGAACTTACATAAAATAAATAGACAACACTTGTCTATATTATTTAATGAAATGTGTATGAATGAAAAGATGCTGCCTAAGTACACAATGAATATATGTGGCACCATGCATAAGTTGGCAGGCTGAAAAGAAATATTCATAAATATATGATTTGTTTTTTACGGTTTGTCAACCATTTGATAATTATTTAAGGCTGAAAAATATTTCGGGGTTATGAATAATTCTTTCTTTACATTCAAGCAGTCTGGGAGAAAGAAAGAAAAGAAGAAGAAAAAGAAAGAAAAAAGAAAAATATAATACGAAAACCAGGTCATAAGCGAACAAACACACGCTCCATTGATACATAACAGATGTTGGAAGATATCCTGTCAAGCACCTGACCTACTTCCGTGTCCACGAAAAATGGAAGATTGTTATCAATTTGGTTGAAGAAATAAAGTTTAGAGACAATGAAAAAATATGATAGGTAACAGGTGGGAAGTTTATCTAAGGATATACAAGCAAACCATTAATACGAACACCAAAACAATTCCAGAATTGAAAATAAAGCCACACAATATGATGTTAGAAAATGCTTTTTTTGAGATAATTAAGATTTTTGTTATCAAGCTCCGAGCGAAAGAAAAAAAGTGAAATATTTTTATTAATTCACGAAAACGCCACCCAGTCTGGGAAATCCCTTTCTTAGATCGTATCCAATTAGCGATAAACTGTTTGACAAATACCGCGTGTAAAAGAAACCGAGAGCGTCATTTCGGTCACGTACAAAAAGGGCAATTTAAATTTTTGCTTCTTTAAGCAAGGTGTTTCTTCCCCCAGAACAAAGCCACGGATTGTCCACGCCCGATTAAAGACGTCACGAAGGAAGGAGGAAAGATACCGACCAGAACCTCATTGGCCGAAGGCGGTCACATGATACATGAAGGAGGAGGAAAGACACCCGACCAGGACCCCATTGGCCGAGAGCGGTCACATGACGTACGAGGAGGAGGAAAGATGCCCGTCCAGGACCCCATTGGCCGAGAGCGGTCACATGACATACGAAGGAGCGGGGAAAGCGGGTATACGCCCCCCAGAGGCACAGTAAGGGAGTAGGAGTGAAAGTAAGTTACCGAAAATGGAAAATCCCTATTCAGAAATAAGAAGGGTGGATACGTATTTAGAATTATCAAGAAAACCCTGGCGCCGATAGACCCACCCCAGTTTTGACTGCGTCAATAAAAGCGGGACCCCAACCGACAGAAATCAGAGTTGTGCCGCGGACGGCGAGGGAGTTTGAGCGCGGACGGCGGGCCCGGTTCATTCGTCCCCATGCGGGCAAGAGAGGCCAGCTCGTGAAGCCGAAGAGAAGAAGTTAATTCGCGCACTGACGGCGGAGATGAGTGAACAGTAATTCAGACTCTGAAGAGAGAAGAGTTTGCGCCGCGGACGGCGAGAGAGATCAGCCGTGAACGACCAGCAGAGATCAGCCGTGAACGACAGGCAGAGTTTAGTTGCAGCCACGGACGGCGAGAGAGATCAGCCGTGAACGACAGGCAGAGAGTTTGCGCCGCGGACGGCGAGAGAGATCAGCCGTGAACGACAAGCAGAGATCAGCGCCCAGTGTTGAAACCGCATCAAGATAGCTAACCAAGATTCACGCACACTTCTAGACTCTTCTGCAACCAAGAACAAGTAGTTTGAAGAGCGACTTAGAATCAGACCACAAGAAATAAGTTTTTTTCGACTTTCGTCCAAAGACACACCGAAACGCAAATTTCTAAGAGAGCAGACAACTGGAAGCCTTAAAGTTGCCTAGTAAAAGCGTTGTGCTACAATCCACAGAACGGGACGGGAGGTAGACATAGTCCTATGTACCGAGCAAATAGACATAAAATTTTTCTTGATACGTTGGACCTTGTGAGTTGTTATTTTATTTCTTTTTATTATACATAATTGTGTGTTATCACCCAAGTTAGACTCAACTTTCATTGCGGCCCCAAGCCCTGTTTGATCTCGTCTGTCTAAGATCAAGTCACAACGACCGGAGATCAGTGCAGTTACCCTGGTAACCAGGCGTTGGAAGCAGGTTGGGAACGACGAGGCTGGTATCAATCTAACCAAAGGGTTAGAACGTCACGTTTGAAGCAGCGAGGAGCGAACAGCTGACGCCGCGACAAAAGACGTCACAACTGGTGCTGTCCGTGACCAGGATATCAGAGCCTGGGGAGCACGTGACGTCACAATTGGCGCCGCGAACGGGATCGAACGACACAGTCGACGCTGCGACCGGGGGACGACGTCACAAATGGTGCCGTGACCATAGGATCACAACCCTGGACCACGTCACGTCACATATATATATATATATATATATTATGAAATGGACAAAGTCCGACAATTATTTTAAGACATCTTTATGCCTATTCATTCTTTTTATAGATTAAGTAAATGCTCTGTTTATAATAAACAGTATTAAACAATATTTACCGGCCTGAATGTCCGAGAAATTTTCACAGAAAATATTTGTCGTCCGACAGGATTCGAACCTGTATCCTATACGGAACCGTCATTTAGCTTGGCGTGCCTTTACCGATTGGGCCACAGAGGAGCGTTCGGTTAGCAAGCTCGAGAATCATAGAAGATTGAAGTTCAAATACAGTAAATTCGACTTTGCTAACCGAACGCTCCTCTTTGGCCAAATCGGTTAAAGGCACGTCAAGCTAAATATATTTATACATGCATACATATATAGGAAGGGGTAAGATATAAAATGTACATACACGCACAAATATTTGC